GTCTTTTCCGAGATTCAACTTTGGACACTTATTAGAGGATGATCTACCGTAATATCCATACCAAGAGCCTACCAACAGGATCAAGGCAACGCCCGAATCCATGATGAGATCACGAAGCTGTGCTTCTCAGAGGTGAACCCTGCAACGAAGATCAATGCCACGGCTCAGAAGGAATCCGAAATATCGTCTTCGAGTCCGAGCCCCCCGACTGCGCCACGGACTCCGACTCGCGATTGTTCACTGAATCCCAGCATTAATTTCTCGTTGTCGTCGGGAAATTCGCCGGCAGGAGAAGGCCCTGGCCGCCGTGACACTCCACGGCCAGACGCAGACAAGGCGGAGGCATACGCCGTGAGGTATGGGTCAACCGTCTTGGACAGACAACCATCGCCGCCCGGCGCCCATCAATCTTACGTGATCCCGTCCGATTGATCGGGTGAACAAATGAATGACCACGCAACCTCTTCTTCGGCAGAAGGCCGATCAATCGAGTCGATTCCCCGCCTGAAAGGGGGGGCGGCTGCTGAGGCCCATCGGGGGGTGACTCCGAGGCCCGTGGTCTCGGGTCGTTTCCGACATTGGCTCAGGAACACCCGCCGACGCAATTGCCTTTTCGACAACCTGTGTCGCCGAAGCCTCGTGGGAAGATCTGCAAGGTGGAATGGCAGAGATGATGGCCTGCCTGCCCGCGGCCGCTCAGCAGAAAGCCGAAGAGGCAAACTGGTCAAGAGTGCCCGCGGCGAAGCTGCCTCGGGGGGCCACCAGCCCGTCGGGCCAGATCCCCGCTCGCGAAGCGGACCAAGACGGAGGGAATTCCAGAGGAGAGCCAGGTGCTCCAACCAGGGGGCGGCCCCGGCGGCTGCGCACTTGGCCCCCCTCTTCCCCCCTCCCCGCCGGTCAGTCCGAAGAGGACGCTGCGCGCGGGGCGCCTGGAACTGAGTGCGACGAGAGCCCCTGCCCCTCGCACGCGCTATCCGCAGGCCAGGGGCACGGTGCCCGACCGACGCAGGACGTCGAGGGCCCCGTCGGGCGCATCGTCTTCCTCCGCTTGCACGGCGCGCTCGGACGCATCGAGTTTTCGCATCGACGAGTCGCGCGCGAATCAAGGCCCCGGGCGCGCGGCATTCCTTGGGCGCCGCTGCCCGGGAGGTCGATGGCAGTGCAAGCAGGCGGTCAGCTGTTACCTATGCGACTTGATATTTCTCTATCCTGATTGTCTCCACACTCGCGCACAGGCGCGCAGCGCTCCGTAGATTCGAGCGGGGGCGAGCCGGAGAGCGAAGGCGGGGGGCAATGGCCGAAGAGCGGGGCCAGGAGTTGGCGCGAATGGAAGACTGATCATGATGGCCGGAGTTCAACAGCGCGCTGTTTCTCGCGTCCAGGCTTGGAGCGACCGATTCGCGATGATTCGCGGCATGGAGCAGGCTCGCGTCGCCCCAGAGCAGGCGATGCGAGGGCCAGCAGAGCTCTGCGAGCTGGCCAGCAGGGCCGGGGCCTCGGCAGCCGCCGAGAAGCGTGCTCGAGCCCTCGCGCAGAGCGCCGCAGCTTTCTCCAACTGCTGGCGCGCGTGAAGTTCAGCCTGCTGTTGGTGCAATTTCTCTCGATGTGCCTCCCAATCCTCCATGGACCGCGTCGCTCTGCGCTCGGCATTCAGGTCCACGATGGCCACCTCGTCAATCGCTGCTCGACCCTCTGAGTCCGCTCGAGCGCGGCGCGAACCTCGGCGGTAGCGCGAACGCAATTCGCGCGCGCGCGCTCCATTGGGGCCATGGCTTGCGCCTGTCGGCGAGCGTCGCCGACCTCGCCCCGCGCCTGCCCCATCGCCTCTGCGCTCTCGGCCGACGCCGTCCTCGAGACGGCCTCGGCGCTCAGTTGATCTGCCTGGGCCCCTCGAAACGCGGCCTTCGCATCCGCCTCCGGGAGAGATTCGCGCCTCAGCCGCCGTGAGCTCTTCGGCGACTCTGGTCATCGTCGCCTGCTGGGTTTCTCCAGCCCCCCAAGGCGCCCAGGCCCGACGCGCTCTTGTCACCGCGGGACTCGCCGGCCCGTGTCGGCTTGTCCTCATTGGCAATGTCAGGAGTGCCCCCCCTCAGAGCCCCGAATCATCAGGGGTAACTCGGGTCAGGGATAACTCGGGTTCGTTCTTCGGGAATCCAAACCCGAGTTACCCCGGACCCGAGTTATCCCGGATAACTCGGGCGTCCAGAGCCCCGAATCATCAGGGGTAACTCGGGCCAGGGGTAACTCGGGTTCCTTTCTCGGGAATCCAAACCCGAGTTACCCCGGACCCGAGTTACCCCGGATAACTCGGGCGCCCAACCCCCCTTTCTGCGCGCGCGCCGCAAAGGCCTTCTGGCGCGGCGCCGCGGGGGCCGAAGCGCCGTGGGACGGGGCGAAGTCTGTCTCTTCAGGCCGCCGGGGCGCGCCGGCCTCGGGCCGGCTCGCCCCGCCGTGCCCCGGGGCGCCCGCTCTCGGTCGACGTCCGCCCGCGCGCGCAGTCCCCGCTCTGGGCCAGCCTCGGGAGGAGGAGGAGGAGGAGGAGGAGGAGGAGGAGGAGGAGGAGGAGGAGGAGGAGGATAAGGAGTATAGTAGTAGGAGGGGGTTTCGCCCCTCGCCGAGCTCCCTTCGCTTTCTTTTGCTGCGCCGCCAGTGCTCCCCAACAGAGGGCCGGCGGCGCCATCTCGTCAACATTGACATTGTCTTTCGCAGCTGCTCTGCCGTGCTTAGCGTAGAAGTCCAGTCGCGCGCGCGCGCACGCATACGCGCGCGCACACGCACGCACACACACATCCTTAGGCTAGTACGCCTGCATAACGGACATCCCAGCCATGGCGTCAAGGACGTCCTCTCCGACACTCAACTTGGGACAACCACTAGTAGATGGCCCACCAGAACAGTCAGACCGATGTCCCATCCACAGGATCAGGATGATGCCCGAACGCATGATAAAAGAGGAAATGCTTGAGCCTTCTTAGAAGGCTCACCCTCTCATTCCCCTCCCGGGCTGCCCGCCGAATCGTGGGGGCCTGAGAGGTTTCAGAATTCCATGCCTTCTGGGGCATATCGACCGGATTTCTTTTAATTTTGACGAATTCCGGACGAAATCTGAAGGAAAAGGTACACAGGTTTGGCCGAAATCTGGCCGACATCATGTTCATGATAGGGCCGCGAAGGTCCACGGAGGCCCCCATGAATGCCTGCACACCCGCACACGAACCCGTCCCCGCCAGGCCGACTCCCCTTCGGAAGGCAACAGCTATATACATTTAGACCAATCCTTGCCAGGTCGATCTTGGGCCCTGGATCTGCGCACCAGGGTCGGCGTGCACGCTGTCTTGCCCAAGCCAGCTTGCTGGGCGCATGCGCCGCTCTTGGGTCCAGGATGGGCGTTGGCAGGGTCGGTGTAGTTGTATCGTTGACGCCCCACTACCCCAGCCTGTCGGTTATTGCTGGAGGTGGTCCTTCGATGAACGAACAGCGAGATAAATTTAAACTTTCTGAGGTCCGCGCCGATTTCTTGGGTCGGCGCTGGGACTCCCTGGCGGCGCTTCCAGCGCCGACCTTGGCGCGCCCCGCGAGCCAGGGAAGAGGGTCCGCGCGGACCTCCGACAGTGTACGTTTCTGCCCCTGGCCCAGGGTGCCCCAATTTTCCCTGCTAGTTTGAAGCCCCTGAGGCCCTTTGTGCCTCGTGACAGGTGTTGCGTAGGCTGTGGTAGGAGGTCTCGGCGAAATCCCACCAGCCCTCAGGGCGTCGGTGGTTTAACGAGTTTCCTCTTCCACCCCTCCCTCTTCCCCCTTCGGGGAGGGGTTTACCCCTCCCCCTACCCCCTCCCCACTGACCTGGACAGGGGGTTCCGCGGCGCGTTGGAGCGCCCAAGATCGACCCTTGGGAGGGCTAAAATTCGACACCCCTCACGAGGATCGTGGCTCCTGAGGGGGGGGCTGTAATTAGGGAGCCCCCCTTCGTTGATCGATCTCCTCCAAGATGGCTCCGAGGCCCCCCAAGAGGCCCCCAGGAGGCCTCCAAGAGACCCCCAAGAGGCCCCAAGAAACCCCCCAGAGGCACCCAAGAAGCGCCCAGGAGGCCCCAAGAAGCGCCCAGGAGGCCCCCACAGGCCCCAAGATGGCCCCAAGAGGCCCCACGAGGCCCCCAGGAGGCCCCAAAGAGGATCCCGAACGGCCCACAGAGGCCCCCCCGAGGCACCCAAGACGCCGAAAAGCCCCTCAGGACGACCCTCTACTCGCCTGGGCGTCGTTTCTGGACGGGCTGGTGGGGATACGCGAAGCGTCTAGAATTTTGAACCAGTGACATTTGCATCACCCGAGCCTGGGTTCCAGGGTCGGAGTGTTCCCGGGCCCCGACCCAGGGATGGGCCTGGCCAGGATGGGGCCCTGCAGAGAAGAAACACAAGACGTACGCTCCTTCCTTCTCTGTAGGTTCGCGCCGACATTTTTTTGAAAGGCCAGATGCGACATGAAACGCGAACCCGAAACCACTCTGCCAGAGGGCATCATCCACTCTTCTTCCTCGTCCTCCTCTCCTCTCCCCACCCTCCTCACCTCCCTCCTCCTCCCCTCCTTCTCCTCTCTCCCTTCCTCCTCCCAGCCTCCGCCTCTCCTCCTCCTCCTCCCTCCCCCTTCCTCCTCCTCCTCCTCTTCCTCCTCCCTCCATCCTCTACTCCTCCTCATCCTCCTCCTCCCACCTCACTCCCTACCCTCCCCCCTCCCTCCCTCCCTTCCCTCCTCCCTCCCTCTCCCTCCCAGTCTCCATCCCTCTGCTCTCCTCCCTTCCCTCCCTCCCTCCCTCCCTCCCCCTCCCTCCCTCCCTCCATCCCCCCTCCACCGCCTCCCCCCTTCCTCCTCATCACCCTCCTCGCCCCTCCTCGTCCCCTCTTTTCCTCATCCTCCCCCTCCTCCTCTTAGCCTCGAGTGAGGAAGGACCCCTCCTCCTCCTCCTCCTCCCCTCCTCCCCTGGATGCCCCATGGCGGAAGAGCCCCGCCTCTGCGATGGCCTGCTCCCGGATGCCCGACAGGCTCCCGCCGAAGACCTGAAGAGCCGGCCCACGGGGTGGGCGGGGGCCTGCCGTGCCGTGGACCGAGGCGCTCTCCCGTCGTGAAGCGCTCGCGGCGGGAGGTTCTTGATACTCGGGCTCTCGGCGGCGCTCAGGCCTCGGGATGCCTTCCAACAGCTGCGCCGCGCCGAGAGCGCGCCGGGGCTGTCCTGATCGTCCCGAACGGCCGCCAGAATTGAGCAGGGACCGACCGTCCCGCCATTCCCATAGTCATACCACGACATGTTCTTAGAACCCAAACAGGTTCTTAGAGCATGAACCCGATGTGTTAAAACAATACAAGGTCCCCGCCAGAACTGTTCTAGGAACAGTTCGTGGGAACCACAAAAGGTTCTTAGAACATTGTTTGGTGGGGCTGTAGGCGGGCCGGGACGCTTCGCCACTGCTTGACAGGGACCCGACCTGCTGCCCCCAATTTGGCATCCACGCGTCGCAGTCAAATGTACGACAGGGGTGGTGGGCCGTGGGGGGCCTCTGGGGGCAGTCGCCTGGCCCCTGGGGCCCTGCGGCCGTCGGCACACGGCCCGAAATAAAGACGCCGTGCCCAGGAGGGGGTCCAGGCCTCTGGGGAGCCACTCTGAGACACGACGCTTCCCCAGAATGCCCAAAGACTGACAAATAGAGCCATGCCCTTGGGGAAAATGTATATTTTCGGCATATTCGTTTCTTGCTCTCCCCCCCCCCCGGGTCGGCGGCACTGGCCGGAGGCCAGCCCAATAAAAAACGCCGTGCCCAGGAGGGGATCCAGACCTCTGGGGAGCCACTCTGAGACCCGAGCCGTGGCCCGAAAACTGAGATACCCGTGTCGCCAACAGATCACGACGGGAAACTTTTGACGCTTCTTGGTCTCCTGAGTCCCTCGCTGGGCCCCAGGGCCGTCGAGCAGCGCCTCGGGGACGAGAAGTGGGTTCCGGGCAATGGTCGAGGCCTCTTGGGAGCCACGTTGCGAACTAACCACGACCACTGGAGGTGGAGGAGGAGGAACCCCGCAGGATGGTTGGTGAAAAGAGCCGCGTTGAGAAGCATCGCAACAAACATCGGATCGGATCGGACACGTCTCGGATGGCCAGCGGATCGCTCCGGATCGCGCCGCGCCCGGCGGATCGGCTGACCCAAGCCAATGCCGTTAAATCGAATGGAGTCGAATCGGATCGATATCGCAGTCCCAGCCGGGGATGGACCATCACTTGCTATGTGATGCGGTCAAGCGATTGCCATCGCCCTGGCATCCTCGCGCGGGAGGAGGACGAGAATGAGGAGGAGGAGGAGGAGGAGGGAGGAGGAGGAGGAGGAGGAGGAGGAGAAGGAGGAGGAGGAGGTAGGAGGGAGGGGAGGGAGGGAGGAGGGAGGGAGGGAGGAGGAGGAGGGAGGGGAGGGAAGGAGGGAGGGAGGAGGAGGAGGAGGGGAGGAGGAGGAGGGAGGAGGAGGAGGAGGAGGAGGAGGAGGAGGAGAAGGAGAGGAGGAGGAGGAGGACGAGGAGGGGACGAGGAGGAGCAGGAGAACGAGGAGGAGAAGGAGGAGAAGGAGGAGGAGGAGGACGAGGAGGAGGAGGAGGAGGAGGAGGAGGAGGAGGAGGAGGAGGGAGGAGGAGGGAGGAGGGCCCAGGAGGAGGGCGGAGGAGGCAAGGTAATCAAACACGACTGATTTGATGTGGCAATGTTCGACCTCCAGAGGTCCTTGCGGGGGCCGTCCCCCGAGCGGCTCGGGATGAGACGCCGGTGCCCGGGAGGGGGGCCCAGACCCCTGGGGAGCTGCTTCGCGACAGGGCTGGACCCAAACTTATGCTGCGCCCATCGTGCTTGAGGAGCACATCCCAGAAATAACTCCGAGCACCCGGGAAGGTGTCGAAACAGTGTCGAATCAGTGTCGGACGCGTACGAGTGTCCCCCAGGGCCCGACACGTGAAAACCCTAGAGTTTCGGTACTTGTTTGGTGCTCGACACTCTTTCTGGCGATCAAGGCTAAAGTAGGTTGGAACATCATAGACCTAAACGGTGTTTGTCGTTTTGCTTTCGCTTCGTTTTTCGTTTTGCTCTGCCTTTTTTTGTTCCCGTACCTCCCTCCCCAAACGAACCACAAAACACAGCTGAAGTCCAGCAAAACAGCGTTTGGGTCCAGCCCTGCTTCGTGAACAGGTCACGGCGTCGGATGTCAGGGTAGTCGAGACATGGTCACACGGCACCGCAGGCTAGGAGCGAAGCTGATCTTGGGCCGCAGCGGTGTCCAGATGCGCGAGGGGCACCAAGGAAAGCCAGCGGAAGGACTCAAGGGGCACCGCCACCCTTTCGATGCCAGAGTGGGCCCTGTCTTGAAGCTCTGATTGCAACGCAGAGGGCCAATCGACCCGACCTGCGAAATCCGATACCTGGAGGTTCTTTATGCCTCTCGGGTTACGACAGGTTGGTGCTGTGACGACGCCAGTGTTGGCTTCTGATACGGTGCGGATTGTTCAACCTTGGGCCAATCGCGGCTTTCCGATATCGCAGATCGTCCGATGGCGGCCGGCCGACTCCATGCCACTTGCGGCGTGCAACCTGGACCGCCGCATCGCCACGACACGAGCCTGCTTTTACCCTGACATCTGACGGCGCGCTTTTTGTCACGGAGGAGGCTCCCCTGAAGTCTGGATCCGCTTCTGGGGACGGCTTTTCATCCCGAGCCGTTGTCTGACGGCCCCAAGGCCAGGCGAGGGCCCCACGATGCCCCAAACGGCCCATCACCCCTGTCGTATTATTGATTGCGACACGTGGGCGTCAATTCCCAACCATCCTGTGGTGTCGGGTCCTCGTTTTGAAAAGACGACGCCCCGCGTTCCTTCCTCCTCCTTCCTCCTTCCTCCTGCCTCCTGCCTCCTCTTCCTTTCCCTCCCCACCCCGCGCCCTCCTCCTCCATCCCTGGCTCCGCCCCCCGCATGTCCACTCCGGAACGCGACTCCACACGTTTCGTGGCCCCACGGGGAGCTCCACCGACGGCCCCAGGTGCTCAGTCCGCATGGCCTACCCGCACCCACTTCGGTACACCCCCTCACGCTTCGTGGCCCCAAAGGGGGCTCCACCGGAGGCCCAAATAGCAGTCTGCACGGCGGACCTGCGTCCGATGTGGCACAGTCCGTATGGCGCACCCGATTCGGCACATCCCTCACACGTTTCGTGGCCCACGTGGGAGGAAAAATCTCAGCGGCACAGTCCGCATGGCGAGCCCGCAGCCGATCCGGCACGCCCCTCCAACGTCTCGCGGCCCCGCAGGGAGCACCGCCGACGGCCCCAGAGGCACAATCCGCATGGCGTGCCCGCATCCGATTTGGCACACCCCCCACGTGTCGTGGCCCCAGAAGGAGCTCCACCAGCGGCCCCACTGGTACAGCCCCGCATGGCGTACCTGTCCTGCACCCGACCCGGCAGAACCCTCACGAGCTTCGTGTCCCCCTGGAAACTCCACCGACGGCCCCAGTGGCACAGTCCGCATGGCGGACTCGCATTCGATTCGGCACACCCCTCACACGATTCGTGGCGCCACAGTGAGCTCCACCGAAGGCCTCAGGTGCTCAGTCCGCATGGCGCACCTGCATCCGATTCGGCACACCCCTCACGCGCTTCGTGGCCCCACCGGGGAGCTCCATCGAAGGCCCCAGCGGCACAGGCCGCATGGCGCACCCGAATCCGACTTGGCACAACCCTCACACGTTTCGTGGCCCCATCGGGGAGCTCCACCGAAGACCCCAGTTCGGGGGTGGACAGTCCTCCCTCTAGTAAAACGTGGTTTCATGAAAACGACCTGGGGCCCAAACCTGGCGGGCGCGAGCCTGGAAAACAACGGCCACGGCGCCCTCTCGAGAACCGAAAACGGACGATTCACTAATCGACGTGTCACTGTTGGGGGTTCTGTCCACCTCCGAGCATGGCGCACCCGCACCCCGTCCGGCACACCCTCACACCGTTTTGCAGCCGGAGTCGTGCTCTGGCACTCCGCGGGGCCCGTGGAGGGCGCCGACAGCTCGGAAACGGCCCACACATCAGGACCCGTTTCCCTCGGGGCCCGCTTCCCCCACGGCGAGCCAACCCTGGGGCCCCCAGAATCGAGTTGCCCATCGGATCGCCGGGACATCGGGATCGAGCAGGATCGGGCCAGCCGGAATCGATACTCCGGACTTCACCACAAGGGGGGGGTGGTCTGATTTGGGAGGGAGGTCCGATCTGAGCCGTCGTGGAGGTTTCTGGGGGGTCTGGGCGAAAGGCCGCCCTTTCGTGGCTCGTTTTGGAGGGGCCAGAACTTACTCGTCTGGGAAGGTTGTGAACCCCTCCTCTTTCCCAGACCCCCGACGTCGTGATTCTATCACAACGTCGACCCCCAGAGGTCTGGACCCCTTCCCCGGGACAGGTTTCTCATCTTGAATCGTTTCTTGACGGCTTCGTGGCCCGGCAAAGGGCCCCCGGAGGCGAAACAAGCGAAGAAACTCCGGGGTCTGGGTTTTCAAGAAGTTTGGAATATCGAATCGAACCGATCGGATCGAGGTGGACCATGTTCGCTGGCAACTCAGGGGAGCCTCCCATACCATCTTGTCGGCTCTTGCGAACCGACGCTAATCGGCGCTGAATCAGCGTTAATCCACGCTAGATCGACGCTATCTCATCGACTCCCAGCCGCCAACCGAGGCTGAAGTCGGAATTAAGAGGGTATACCAGGCTTCCATGATTTGCCACCGAACGATCGGATCGAGAAGGGAGGAGGAGAAAGAGGAGGAGGAGGAGGAGGAGGAGGAGGAGGAGGAGGAGGAGGAGGAGGAGGAGGAGGAGGAGAAGGAGAAAGAGGAGGAGGAGACGAGGAGGAGAGAGGATGAGGCGGAGGAGGAGGAGGAGGAGGAGGAGGAGGAGGAGGAGGAGGATGGAGGAGGAGGAGGAGGAGGAGGAGGAGGAGGGAGGAGGGAGGGAGGAGGGAGGAGAGAGGAGGGAGGGATAGAGAGGAGGAGGAGGGAGGAGGAGGAGGAGGAGGAGGAGGAGGAGGAGGAGGAGGAGAGGAGGAGGAGGAGGAGGAGGGAAGAGGGAGGAGAGAGGAGGGAGGAGAGAGGAGGGAGGGAGGGAGGGAGGGAGGCAGGATGGATGAGGGAGTAGGGAGAAGGAGGACATGGGGGGTGCAACGCTCTGCTCTCGACCCTCGAGGGTGTCGAGGGGCAACTGCTCCCCTGGACGCTGCCGGCCCCCGTCGGGCCTCCCTGAGGAGGCTTCCCAGGACCGCCCCGGGGGGGCCTCCGAGGGTCACACATCCCCCAACCCCCTCGAGGCTCTGGGTCTGGGGCCGGACGAAAACTTCTCACGAGCGGCGACTGCGTCCATATCGACGCCCTCGCGGTCCAACTTCCGGGGCGCGATCCAGCCGATACTCGGTCGCACGGGCACGTTCCGCGCGGGGCGTCCGCGAAGAAACGCTCCGTATCCGCGGGGTCGCGGCTCACGGGCCTGGCCCGCGAGGCCGTGGATAGGGTTATGTTTTTCGCGCGCGAACTTACAATGGCGGCAGTGGGTTCCATTGGGTTTTGCCCGGGGGCCTTTGGGAGGTGGCAAGGCGGGCTTGGAGAGGCGGGACCCGTGGTGCGGAAAAGAGACGGGGGCGGAGGGTTCCTGCTGTCGTTGTTCCTCCTACTGCTCCTCCTTCTCCTCCTCCTCCTCCCCCTCCTTCTCCTCCTCCTCTTTCTCCTCCTCCTCTTTCTCCTCCTCCTCCTCCTCCTCCTCCTCCTCCTCCTGGCACGTGTGCCACTGGGTGCCCTCGGGCGTCCCAGAAAAACAAGCGGGTTGCAGCCAAATCGTCGCCCTTGCTTGCCCGTAGTGGGCCAGGGGGAAAGAAAATTGCGCCTCGTCGCCGTGTTTTTCCAATCCTTGCGGTGGCCCGTCACGTACACCGCGTGCGCCTGGGCGGGTGGACCCCACCAGCGGCCCACTGGTACAGTCCGCATGGCGTACCTGTCCTGCACCCGACCCGGCAGAACCCTCACGAGCTTCGTGTCCCCCTGGAAACTCCACCGACGGCCCCAGTGGCACAGTCCGCAGGGCGGACCCGCATTCGATTCGGCACACCCCTCACACGATTCGTGGCGCCACAGGGAGCTCCACCGAAGGCCTCAGGTGGGGCTCATGGTGGATCTGCACCCACTCTTCCCACGGCCAGGGTCCCCCCGCCCTGGCGTGCGCGGGGGCGCGCGGTCGCCCGAGGGAGCTGCGCCCCTCGGGCGGCTTCTCGGGGCGGCGCGCCGAGTGGCGTGCCGTTACGTGGGTGCCGTGCGCCCGCCGCCTCGGAATCGTCAGAACGCGCGGCGCGCCGAGGTGCGTGCTGCGCGCGGCGCGCCAAGGTGCGGGTCGCCGGATCCCCTCTCGGTGGTTCGGCCAGGAAGGAGTGAGCATCTCAACGATGGAGGGACTCAGTTAGCGGCATCACGCTTTCTCGTGTTCCACACGCTTCTTGGCGGGCTCCCCGGGTGGGCCTCCTGCTCCTCGTAGCCGCGCTGCTCTTCGTGTTCAGGAGGTGCTTCTTTTAATGTCACTCTTGTGATGGCGGAAATCCTGGAAATCCTCCTCCTCCTCCTCCTCCTCCCCTCCTCTTTCGATCGTCCTCCCCCTCCTCTCCGCATCCTTCCTTCTCCTTGTCTCCTCCGTAAACGCTCCCGTTCCTTCCGCTCCGCACGGGCAAGGGGGATATTCGACTCCACACACGCACACACACACACACACACACACGCACACCCAGCACACGCACATGCACACGCACGCGCACGCGCACGCGCACGCGCACGCGCACGCGCACGCGCACGCGCACGCGCACGCGCACGCGCACGCGCACGCGCACGCGCACGCGCACGCGCACGCGCACGCGCACGCGCACGCGCACGCGCACGCGCACGCGCACGCGCACGCGCACGCGCACGCGCACGCGCACGCGCACGCGCACGCGCACGCGCACGCGCACGCGCACGCGCACGCGCACGCGCAGGCGCACGCGCAGGCGCACGCGCACGCGCGCACACACACACACACACAGACACAGACACAGACACAGACACAGACACAGACACAGACTCATCCGTAGCCATTTTGGCTAAGGGAGCGGGCTTACGGGATGCCCTCACGCGCGCGCCCTGGGTGGCGCGCTCGGGGCGCGTGCAAGCGGCATGGAAGCGAGGCGCTGGGCAGCGTCCAGCGCGCGGACCCTGGCGAGGCGCCTCCGCCGCCAGCGGCGGGAGGAGCTGGGGGGCACGCGCGCGTCGGCGCTGGCCAACCGCGTGCAGACGCTCAGGGTCGCCCTCGCCGAGCACTGGCGGCTGGGCGACGTGCTGGGCTGTCACTTCCCCACGATGGCGGAGGCGCTCGAGGCGGCTCGGGTTGTGGGGCTGCCGCAGGAGTGCCTTCAGACAGCGGAGGAGGCCCTGGGCGCTGGCAACTGGGCGCGGCACGCGGGGCCGCCCAATGCTGCCAGGCGCCCGCCTCCCATGCCGTCGGGGACGAGCGCAGACTTCCTTGAGAAGGTCCTCAAGGTGCAGTCCTTCCCGCTGAACGCGGACGCGGTGGCGTACTGCTGCTGGGCGCCAGGGGACTGGAGCAGGGCGGTGCAGGAGGGCCTTTACGAGGAGGGCGACGCGGATGCAGTCGTGGAGGAGGGCGCCGAGCAGGCGTACACCAAGAGCGACGTGGACATCCAGTGCGTGGGCGCGGAACAGGCCGCCGTGAAGGTGGCCAAGGCCGACGTCGGCGCAGTGCAGGAGGGCAGGCTCATGGTGAACGGGGGCCGCTCTGGAGCCAACCTGGCCGAGGGCACGGGCGAGGCCGGTGCGCCGGCGTACGCCGTCTGCGACTCGGAGGCCGGCTTGGAGGGCGGCGTCGAGGAGATGAGCATCGATAAGGAGGCGGGCGTGGCCATGCAGCGCGGGTGGTGGGCCGCCAGGGCCAGAGTCTCGCGGGCCTGGCTGGGCACGAAGGCCTCGGAGAGCAAAGACATGGCGGAGCTCGAGGCGCAGGGCGTCGAGGGCTTCGCGGCGTCCGAAGGCAAGGGCATCGACGAGCAGAAGGTGCGGTGCTTGCTGACGGGCAAGGAGATGAGCAACGAGAAGGAGGCGGGCGTGGCCATGCAGCGCGGGTGGTGGGCCGCCAGGGCCAGAATCTCGCGGGCTTGGCTGGGCACGAAGGCCTCGGAGAGCAACGACTTGGCGGAGCTCGAGGCGCAGGGCGTCGAGGGCTTCGCGGCGTCCGAAGGCAAGGGCATCGACACCCAGAATGTGCGGTGCTTGCTGACGGGCAAGGTGAGTGAGTGAGTTAGGCGTGCAGTTGCATTTCTTGTTTGCCTCGCCGTGCCGCTCGGGGCTGTGCAAGCATGTTTGGGGCGTCGCCCGTCGCGTGTCTGCACGGTTGTATATATTCCAGCGCTTCGCGCTGATGCCCCTCGACGGGGGTCTGAGCTGACAGGCCGAGCGGTGCCTCGGGGCCGATGTGCCCTGGTGGCAGCCTTCTGCGGCTCGTCTGGGCTCTCGGGATCCCTTGTGGCCCGCCCCCTGTCTTGGGACGGCCCCTTGTGGCTTTGGCCCCTCAGTGGGGCCTGTGCCCTTTGTGGGCTTTCTTTAGCCTTTATAGGCCCCGCGCTAACAGACACAGACACAGACACACAGACACACAGACACACAGACACACAGACACACAGACACACAGACACACAGACACACAGACACACAGACACACACAGACACAGACACAGACACAGACACAGACACAGACACAGACACAGACACAGACACACAGACACAGACACAGACACAGACACAGACACACAGACACAGACACAGACACAGACACAGACACAGACACACACACAGACACACACACACAGACACACACACACACAGACACACACACACAGACACACACACAGACACAGACACAGACACAGACACACACACAGACACACACACAGACACACACACACAGACACACACACAGACACACACACAGACACACACAGACACACACACGGACACACACACAGACACACACACAGACACACACACAGACACACACAGACACACAGACACACACAGACACACACAGACACACACAGACACACACAGACACACACAGACACACACAGACACACACAGACACACACAGACACACACAGACACACACAGACACAAACACACACAGACACACACACACCACACACACGCACGCACGCACGCACGCACGCACGCACGCACGCAGCACGCACGCACGCACGCACACACACACACAGACACACACACAGACACACACACACAGACACACACACAGGACACAAACACACGACACAACACACAGACACAGACACAGACACACAACAGACACACACAGGACACACACAGAAACACACAGGGGGGGGGGGGGGCCCCAAAAACACAGACACACACAGGACACACACAGGACACACACAGGACACACAAGACCACACACAGACACACACAGACACACACAGACACACACAGACACACACAGACACACACAGACACACACAGACACACACTGACACACACAGACACACACAGACACACACAGACACACACAGACACAACAGACACACACAGACACACACAGACACACACAGACACACACACAGACACACACAGACACACACAGACACACACAGACACACACAGACACACACAGACACACACAGACACACACAGACACACACAGACACACACAGACACACACAGACACACACAGACACACACAGACAAACACAGACACACACAGACACACACAGACACACACAGACACACACAGACACACACAGACACACACAGACACACACAGACACACACAGACACACACAGACACACACAGACACACACAGACACACACAGACACACACAGCCACACACAGCCACACACAGACACACACAGACACACACAGAGAC